CGTGATGATCATGGTAGGTTTCTTGTTTCATTTGCTGGACGTTACCTTGCGTACAATATATGTGTTTCATCACTGTGTTGTGTGAAAGGAGATAGCAACAGTTTTGATCACCAGCTGGTGAAGATATCTGTCCCTCAAACCGATGCAAGTCTTGTAGGTCCAGCTTTTATTGAGGTGAGAACTTTTGTTAAACAAAATTTTACATTTTGTCGCTCAATTATAATACCCTGTCACGTCTATTTTGAACGACCTGCCCATTCTAATTTCGAGAAGATGTGGAAATGTTTTCACATTGTGCATCTATAGGGTTTTGCAAAGATTGTTTGAACTGACCGATGAACACTAATATGCGTCAATTTTCTATAATGATTCCTCTTAGTCTTTTTGCTGTCCTAACTTGTGTCGGAAGTTGTTTAGCAATAAGAAATCAGTTGCTTTGATCATATGATCGAAGTAAGGGAAAGTTTTGAATTCTACTACTGATATTTTTGTTTGTTATACTTCGAAGTTTTTGATGCTCCATTGACATTTGTTTCCTTTAAATTGCATGGTAAATGTTAGAACACTTTATGAAATTCGAATGGGGGATTTGTAATACTTTGAGGGAGTATTTATCAGTTTTGAATATTCATTTTTAAATAAATAATTTTGGCTGAACTGCGGGGGCAACTTTTGTAATCCTCGCATTAGGGAGTACTTCTGGATGAAATTTTTGCTTATATTGCTTCAATTCATGAAGGGACTTGTTTCTATAACTATTATTTTATTCTTGGATCATGATTCCTTTACAGGTCGAGAACCAGTCTGGGCTATCCAATTTCGTTCCAATTCTCATCAGTGATAAAGAAACTTTTGCTGAAATGGAGATTTTGCAACAAAAGTTCAACAATACCTTATCCTCTCAAGAACGAGATTCTCCTTCAAGGTCCGCGTGCCAAGTGTTAGCCTTGAGACAAGCACAATTCTCAGAGATCCTTTTGGATGTAGCATATTCGCTCAAGAAACCTTTATCCGGATACCAGATGACACCTTCTCACGTGCAAAGATTCAACTGTTTATTGAACCTTCTCATAGAAAATGAATCCTCTGTTATTTTGGAGAGAATTGTTTGCACATTGAGATCTGCAATTGATGACAATTTGGTGGCTGACATTTCTGATGAAGATATGAGATCATTAAGGAGAAATATGGAGATTGCAGATAGTGAGCTTGATTTGAGGTTAGAAGGAAAAGCTCCCACAGTGAAGCCTGATGTGAACAAAGCTGTTTATAGTCAAGGCTCCCAGAAGGACGAACAGCTTGTTGTTCAAGCTTCTAGTATTGTAAGCACATTCCATGTTGAAACATATTTTATTCTAGCCGTAATTTTCTTGCATGCCTTTAGTCTTATTATGCTGGAAAAAGCGTCCTGTTGGGAAAATCCATAAAATTCCTGGGCTTGCAGGAGACATTGAATTTTCAGTTCATTAAGTTTTTGGTTGTTCATGTGCTAATAATTATTGGATGAGTTAAAAAAATCAATTTTATGCCAAGTGATCTATTAACCACAGCTGGAAGACATTTTACTACCATATTTTCTTTTAATGGAAGATGGAACTTTTGAATTTCCTCTATGAAAAAACTGTCTTCAGGAATTGGAAGTAAAGCTTTAATTTTCCATGTTCTCATTAATGAATAAAAGTGTTTTTATCTTGCAGGATACGCATGGCGCAATGAAGGATAATAACTTTGCGGCCAGAGAATTTTCATTATCTCCAGATGAATGCGCTAAAGAGCCTCTTTTAAATGGACAAGTTGTAATGAATGTTAATATTCATGCCAAGCCACGAAAACCCTGCAGACCGGTGTTATCGAGAACATTCTCAACTTCACGGCCACTTTTGATGGCTATCACGGTTATTTGTGTGTGTTTGGGAGTATGCGCAGTTGTTGTTCACCCTCTAAGGGTAAGCCAGATAGCCACGACTATACGGAGGTGTCTATTTGATAGTTTATAATGTTAATTCAAACTTCTTAACCTAAACTCTCTCTCTCTCTCTCTCTCTCTCTCTCTCTCTCTCTCTCTCTCTCTCTCTCTCTCACTCCCTCATATAAATGTACAGGATGTTGTGCATGGACATTGGTTTTCTTGAGTCCCCTTAAAAGGGACAAGAAACTTGCAGGGGACAAATAAATGTAATCCTAGGTTATGTTAACCTCAATATTGTATGCTTTTGTTGTGTGTAATGTTGTTTAAGGTTTAGTTCATCTTTTATTTGTTTGTTTGTTTATTTTGGTACTGTTTCATGTTGATAAGTCTATATATTATGCCAATCTTGTTAATGGATTTTGCTGTGCTGTGCTGTAACTTTTCTGCTGATGGATGGCTGATTTTAATCTCAATATTTATCAATATTTATCAACTTTAATCTCAATATTTATCAAAATAATTAAATAATATGGGTAAATCATTCAAAACATATCACATCAACAATAATTTACTATTCATTCACTCACATGTTTTTAAATAACTTATAATTTTCAATGACTTCTCTCATGCTTTTACATTACAACAACTTTAATAATTATATCTTAAATAATATTTAAATATAGGTTCATTTTCATATGATTTAGCATTTTCAATAATTTGTCTCATACCATTAATCACATCAACTTTAGTCACTAAATTTTAAAAATTATTTAAATGAAAAAAATCAAAATCACGATTAATCCTCCACTCAGTTAACTCTATTCAAAATTAATCACCAACTCCAATCAAAATAGGCTATTTTTACCAATAACCCCTTAATGTGGCATTTTATTTATATTTCGGAAAAACCGTGTAGTGTGTGCCTATGTATGTAATATATTTGTGAGTACACAAAAACCAATTGTAACATGGTCAACATTCGATTTGGAGGGAAGTAATCGAATGTTGGCAGAATTATTGGAATTGTTGAACCATGAATCGAATAGCCGCACAGTTAGAAGCATGTTAGAACCATTAGATTCAATTACAGTTGACATAATGTCAAAGAATTGGATCTGCCCTTCCTTGATCACATTGACGGCCTCTACTCTTGTTCTAGCTCGCCGGAGAGATAAATTTGCCTCAATGATATGACAAAAGTCATTTTTTCTCCAGTTTTCTGGCACTAAAATAGCTTTGCCAACCGTATTTGGAGAGAAAATGCACAAAACCAATTGTAGAGTTCATGGTGTACAACTTTGCATCTTCTGCACGCAAGTGTGCTTTTGTGTATCAAATTGCATTTCATAGAATTACTATTCAGTATCTATGTGTACTTGATGGCGAGGAGATCGCTTTCGCGTTCATGGACAAATACGAGCGACGTTGAAATCGTGCATGAATCTTGCATGTGATTTGTGACCTTTATTATTATTATTATTATTATTATTATTATTATTATTATTATTATTATTATTATTATTATTATTATTATTATTAAGTGATGAAATCTAGAATAAGCTTGAAAATCAAAGAGACATTTAAATATAGTTTGTCTTGAAAAACTAAGTATGTTTATTAGGAACATCAAGAGGCACAAGAAGATTATCATATATATAAATGTAAGTGCATACGAGAAGTTTGATATTGAATAAAAATTATATTAGTCTTGAGTTTTATACTCGTTTATCCTTTCGTTTACGCTTCTGTTTGCATCAGCTGGTATCCAGAGTCCAGTACGATCCCGAAATGCCGCCAAAGAGGAACGGCACGGCAGACGATCGGCGTGACGCCGCAATCGAATCCTTGAACCGCCAAGTCTAGGGTTTCGGCCGACAATTTCAAGCAATGGGTCATGAAATGGCGGACCTTACGACAGGCATGGAGGCCATTCGTTTGACTCTCCTGATGGTGTTGGAACGTGAGAAAATGAACAACGACGGACTCGAGGGCCGAGCCGGTGGTCGCTGCGGGATGCGGGCGGGCCATGGGGGTCGCGGTCACGCTGGAGGTGGTGGTGTTCGGATGCCGCGGTGGGAGGAGGACGACGACTCTGATGCCACGGTGGAGGAGTTTAACCCATTTGGGGTGCCCGATCATCGGGAAGATGACTTCGTGCATGGTGACAGGCGTTGGGACGGATCCTTTCGTGTTGACATTTTGGAGTGTACTGGAGGGCTCGATGTCGCTGAGTTTCTCGACTGGATTGCGGCGGTCAAAGCTGTGCTGGATTTCAAAGACGTACAGGAGGACAAGAAGGTGGGGCTCGTTACGACCCGCCTTCGAGGTCGTGCTGTGCAGCGACGTGGTGGCTACAACTCAAAGGGTCTCGACATCGCATGGGTAAGTCTAAAATTCGGACTTGGCCTAAATTTAAAAAACACATTGAAAAAGAATTTTTTCCGTACAACTATGTTCGTACTCTTTATCAAAAGTTACAAAACCTTCGACAAAGGTTTCGGTCGGTTGATGAATATACCGAGGAGTTTTATAAACTCCTTACACGAGTTGATATTCGTGAGACAAATGATCAGTTAGTATCGCGGTATATTGGTGGTTTATGACTTTCGATCCAAAATACGCTCAACCTTTTCATACCAGACTCGATTTCCGACGAACATCAACAAGCGGTGTTGGTCGAGCAGCAGCTCGCGAGTCGTTCATCGACTTCCATTTTTTCCCGACCACGGCTGGGGAGTAATTCCAGTGGAGCCTCGGTTGGGGGTCACTTGTCGGTAGGACCGAGCAACGCGGCAGGCGACACTATTATTACCTCCGGCAGATAACCGACTGTTCCGCTGGGACCCGCGACGGCTGCTCCAGGCACGACACATGGTGGGCGGCAATCAGGGGGCCTGCGGTGTTTTTTCTGTGGCGAGTTGGGTCATTGGCAGTCCGCTTGCCCTCGACCCGGTACGGGGCGTGTGTTATTCACCGACGACACAAGAGATTTCGACGACCACCCCTTATATGACTGTTTGTTATGTTTTTGTGCTTATTTTTATGTGTTTATATGTGTTATCGAGTCATTTTTAGGTTCGCTTTAGTGTCG